TTGGATGTCTCTGCGTCTACATACATATACATGTGCGTCCTGGGTTCAAAAGATCTTCGCCACTGTGGGTCATTGTCTGCGTGGTCCTGTCAGGTGGCAGGGGATCCGGTGAGAAAAGGTGTGGCTAGCAAAGCTGAGGGGATTAGACAAATTTTCCCTCCTTCACAATGCTGCTGAGGCCTTCTTAAACAATAATAGCACAGCTACAGCTTAATCCAGAAAAGCCACTTTTTTAATTAAAAAAAATAAAATGCAGCAAAACATTCCGATAACGCAAAAGTATCCTTCCTTCCCATCTCCCAATACCCCTTTCCTAAAGCATACGTCCAGAAATCTTCTATGCACATTCAGGCACACATCTGTCCCTTCTTTCCCTCCCTTTCTTCAAATGAGAAAACACTACACATTGTTTTGCACCTTGCTTCCTCCACTCATATTTCAGCACGTGCTACTTTAATCTTTTATGCTTAAGCATAGTATTCCAGCATACGGTAGGTACACTGTGATTTTTTTTTAACATTTAGCTTGTGTTCTGGTCTTTTGCTTATCAACAACACTGCGGTGAGCGTCCTCACATCTGTGCGCTCATGGAGTTCCTACGTCAAACCGTCTGTACATTTTAGGTTTTGACAGACATCGTCACATTTTGTTTCCTCCATTGAGATTGTACCAAAATAGTCACGGCATTTTGCTGTCTGGATACTGGAGCCAGAATCCCCGCCACCCTTACGGGACCCCATGGGCCTCCTATCATCAAAACGCTCGTCATGCCTCGTCTTGACGTGGTACTTCTTCCTCCCTCTACTTCAAGCAAGAATAAACACCATCCAAAAGACTTAGTCTTGCATATTTTAACTTTCCTTGGTATAACCACTGTTAAAAAGGCTTGTTTCAATGAATGTCCTAAAAAAAACTTAACTGTACTTTAATTTGGATTAGTCTAGGAAAAGGCAGTGTTTTAGTTTCCTAAGAATATACCCTTAAATATTACTTCCAGATACAGTTGGAGCTTTGGGATGGTTATGCAGCTCATATGTTTGAGCCACCTGGATCTCTTCCATGGCCAAGTTTTTGTAGTAAGATCTACATTACAACTCTGGCAGTAATCAGATCAAGTTCATTGCTCTATTTCTGCAAATGCCTATAGAACACCTGGTGGTCTTGCAACTCCTACGTAGAAACTAAATTCATTTTTAATGACAAAGGTAAAATCTCTTTTTATCTTTTTTTGAGTAGTACTTAGTGGCTGTTTGATTTATCCAAAATGATATATTATAATGCTAAATGCTCGCAATTTTGTTTCTGGAACATACTAGAAGAGGCAATGTTGCCACCCCGTTATAGGTGAATTCTTTATTGCCAGGCTAACCAAGAGGTGGGGACAATTTTGAAGATGGGAGCAAGTTTCATTAAAAAAAAAAAAAAAAAAAAAAACGGCTTCATATCAAAATCAGGACAAGTAATCTTTAGTTCTCTTTTAGTTGTCACACTTGCTTTCCTTCAATAGATAGCGATTTTTCCTAGGGTTAGGCAACACACTGAAACATTTTCACACTTCAGAGTATGGAAAATGTGATGTACTGCTAAGCTAACGTCTGCATACTAAACACGAATTTGAAATATGCCTGCAAGACTGTAGTTATAGTTTTCTTATGGGGATAACCATGACCATGACCAAACATGAGACAATAAACATTTCACCTCCAAAAAAGAACATTCCTGACGAGGTGGGTATCATTAAAATATATATCGGACTGCAGCACAAGCCTTGATAAGCTGGTTATTGTCTAATATCAGGAAAGTCAGTATAAACTTGAAGTTGAAAACCTGTTCTGCTAAATCATCTTTACTGAGGCACTTTTTATCAGGAGCTCAGGGACAAGGGGAGACAATAAAATATGTGCCTAACAAAGCATGTCAGCAGCTTGAATGAAGCAAAACAGTCCAGATCTGAGACTTCTAATAAATAAATGAAGTTGAGCATTTATTGCCAACAACCATGTCACTGGGGCCACAGAAAGCTGGAGCCGTGCAGCTGGGAGGCAGGAGTGTGGAGCCAGAGAAGGCACTGGAACGCGCCCAGGTTTGGTTATTTATGGCGTGCTGATGAAGAGACAACTTTCCATATGAGGAACAGCTTAACAGAGGAACAGTCAAGCTAAACCAGGAAGAGAGCCAGAGAGAGAGAGAGAGAGAGAAACAAAAGGGGACATGAATAAAAATGACAGCTAATAAAACAATACAAATCCAAAGTGCTGTAACTTTCAGAAATAATTTAAGGCCAAAAGAAAAGAAAAAAGAAATCTATTTTGCTGGCTTTGGGACAATTTTCCAAGAAGCAAAAGACGTTAAGCAAAATGAATGCACTGAATTGAAGACCAAATTGCCCCCATGCCTTCTTTAAGTTTGGTTGCTCCTAAAGCTGGATTTATTCGTAAAAAGGGAAATGGCGATTCTGTTTGTATTTAGCTAATGGATCCATTTTTGCAACAAATCTCATGCACTACTCCATGTCAGGTGCTAGACTCTCTGGGGCTATCTAATAAACAACAACAATACCTGTCCTCAAGAGGCTTATGGTCTAGTGTGGGAAGTAGAGAAGTCCACAGTCAAGTTCGGGACACTGAGGTGGGCACTGTGATGAGCTAGGCCAGGGCCATGGAAAGGCAAGAGGGGCAGCTGCAGGGAGCGATACATGGCCTGAAGTGGAGCCTGGGAAGGACATAATTCAGTGAACTTGGCTTTCTATGTTGATTAAATTACACACCAAACCTCCATACAATCCAAATCTGCTCTATTATTTAAGAATTAAAATATACTTTTTATGCAAAGATGCAAATTTCTGTGGTCCTAGTAGTTTTTATCCTTGAATTCTGGACTTGAGGCTTACCTGAATTGTTTCAAATGATCTATTGTATAACAAACCTCTTTCTTTCAAGTCTGATCAAAAGCATAATAAATATTAGCCCCCAGTTACTACATAGCCCACATGTGCCAGTCATTTCATTTGTGTCTCATTACACGTCACAACAATGCCTTGAGGTGAGTTCATCACTCTCATTTTATAGACGAGGAACTAGAGCCTTAGGAAGGTGACTCTCTCAAGGTCCCACGGAGTAAGCATCACAGCACTTCTACACCTCACCGCCTTTAGGTTAAGCATGCAGGTTGGACCTATGCCTAAAACATGCCTATACCCAAGGCAGGCATACCAATGCATACCCACTGGCTTATCAATTTGAGCTGTCCCGGAAATTACTTTAGCTGAATTAGTCTCCCTTTTCCTCCTACTTCCTCCCACCAGTCTCGCTGAAGAAGTGCTACTTTTAAGGCACTGGGGCTGTTCCTACTGTTAACACGGGGGAGTGTTTCTAGAAGCTGAGAGCGATAACAAACATTTTATTCCGCATGAACCTCTACACCCAGTGAGGCCCCTCTGCTCTGCAAGCTTCCTTCTCTTTTATGAAGAGTTTCTTGAAGACGAGTGCCACACATTCCTCCCACCTGTACAGGTAAATGTCCTGATGAGAAGGGGATCCAGCCAGAGCACTTAGTCTTAGCTCCCTATTTCTGTTCTCCGTCCCATTCCTAATTCTCCACTTCTTTCCAGAGACTCTCTCTGCTCTCGCTGTCTTGCCCTTGCTATGGGAATATGTGTTTAAACACTGGTCTCGGGCGGTGTCTCCATGACCTTGGGGACTTCAGACTTTCCTTCTGCCCCCACACCTTGACCCCCACACATACTCCAGACTCACTCTTCTGCACTTGGCCAACTGGTCAGTATTCTGGAAATACTGCTTAGGATCTGAGGACCGAGCCAACTATGAATTATTTTATAATTTCAAATTATTTTATAGTTTCAATTCGAATAGTATTCTATGTAGATTCATTTCTTTTAGAGTCTTTAAGATCATTCTTCCCAAAAGAAACTAGATAATGCACTGAATGGTAAAGCTGTTTCATTAATAACCCAGTTCTAAATATATTGCACAGTAGACGTGTGAAATTGGGTAGAGAATAATCAGTTGATAAACCACAGCAAATTTTTTCAGAGGTTTTCATACCTACCCTCTTATTCTCAAATTTATAAAACTATTTGCAAAAAGCCAAGGATTTTTCCCTTTTTGTACTATTTGAGCCATAGCTGTCTATGAACACTTGCTTTTAAACTCAGACATTAAAAAAGATGACTTAAGACCCACTAGCTTATCAATTAGAATTTAGTTCTTCCTCTGTTGAGGTAACTTGGTTTAGCACAGAAAAACGTTATGATGATGCCTGGGCTGAGCTTCAGGCAAAAAGGGCTGGCCATATGCACGATGCTTTCATTAAAGGCTGAAATTTTAGCAGGATAAGAGCTCAAACTCCCCCGTTTCAAGAAAATGGTTTTGCAGCCAGATGGCCAGAAACTTAAAATGGCAACTTTTCTGATTTGAGGTAATTTCTCAAGAACTGAAGAGGCGATCATTTACTCTTGACTTTCAAAGAGAACCCGGGCTTGAAATGCACCATTGCGTCTAAAATGATCAGCTACTGACAACCCTCCGAAGTTACTAGGGAGGGAGGGGAAGCAGGTGAGACACCTAAACATCTGGAATGAACTATCTAGTTCACTTTCCAGGTTGTAAATTTTTTGGCCCCAAAATTATTTGAAAATAACTTTTAACTAAAAAAGTGGATTTTTTTATTAGCTGAAGTACTAAAAATTTTTTGATTACTTTGATGTGAAACACTACAGCTATAAAACTTACCAACATCTAACCTACAAAGCAATGTGCATTCAAGAAAACAGAATTTTAAAAAATGAGTCCTGAAAACATGGATTCTAAATTATGGTCAATGAGAACCTTACTAAATACACTGTTCTGTACAGCATATTCAAATAAATCAGAGAATCATAAATAACAGTATACTATGGTTGAGACTGAAATAATTTTGCCACCTAGAAATTCTCACATTTGTCAACCTACTTAAACAGAAAACATCTGAACAAAAGGACATACACTCAAACACATTTTTACTGAAAATTATATTTGAAGAACAGTCTATAATTCTATACATTTCAATCTCCAAATTTTGATATTTTTATTGATACCAAAATAAAGTTAATACATTGACAGTTAATACATAGAATTTAAAAGAAAACTGCATATGGTTAGAAAAATATGCATCTATATATACATATATATGTATATGCCCTTGATGCATATATAATATATATATTTCATAAGAAAATAAAATTATGTACAAAATCCTTCTGCTCATCAGCACTGATCCGAACTTATTTGATTTTTATAATTAAGCACCACCATAAAACAAAACGCTTGGGGAGAGAGGTGATACAGAACTCTTTAGCCCCTCCTCAGCCTCCTCACTCCAGGGCTTCGCTCTGCAGTTTGGTGGGAGGTTCGCACACGCCCTGGTTGGACAGTGCATCCAGAATCCTCCAGAGTCTGGGCGGGTCCTCGCAGTTGTGCTGCTGCTCCCAGTGCAGGAGCAGGTCTTCCTTCCTCCCCAGTGTCTGGGTACATAGGACACAGTTAAAGCCCGCATGGGACCGAAGCAGAGCTGAGTAAGGGCTGGGAAGCGCAGGGCCCTGTGGGTCTTCTCCGGGCTTCCTGGGTCCTGACTGAGCACCTTCGTTTTTCTTGAGTATTTCCACATCATTCTGATGATGGAGGGGGAGTTGCCTTTTCAGTTTAGGAAGTGCATGCACTTCCTCATTGGAGGGACAATGCTTCGGCAGCTTTCTTCTTTCAGGATATTGTTTCCAGGAAGGAGCGGCATGTTTAACCAGCTCTTCCTGAGCAGCTTGGCTTCCTGGGGAGATTTCCTCCTGCAGCCTGCCCTGAATTTCCTCTCCATGAACATAAAGTAAATGAAACTTTATTTCGGCAAAAGACTGGGCAGTGATCTGACAGCGGCCACATTTGATTTGTAATTTGACTTCGTCTGCCTGGTTTAGAAGGAGGTCGTCTTCTAGGCTTGACTTGTTTTCCCTAAAAAGGGGAAAAACAGCAATATATGAATTTCATGGAACGACACAGTCGGAACCTTTCCCTTCAGCTCTTAGCTGTCAAGGATCTAAAACACACGCACTGAGGAGGAGCACGAGAGTGGGTAGACGGGGGAGTGTGGGGAGCCCTTCGGCAGAGGCGTAGTAAACCCCACTGTCACTCCTCAGGTTCATTCCCTCCGCGGCTGGAGAGCTAGCAAAGCACCCGTTACTACAGGAACAGGTGTGCTCCACGAGAGAGTCAGGCAGTCCCAGGCGAGGCGCTCCAGGAACACGCTTGGTTCCGCCCAAGGTGAAGGTCCCATGCCGCCCACTGTTGCCCTCTCTAACCTTGAACGCCAGGCGCATTTTAGACATTTTACCGAAAAATCAAAATAGACTATAGGAAAACAATTAACAAGTGAGATTTCTTTAGGGAGGCTGCTATGTACATTAGCAAAAGGCAAAGGTATCTAAAAGGAAACAAATGCCTAAAGAAAAACAGAGAAACTAAAGAAAAGCCAGGGAGAAATCCTTATTTTTAACGAACTTGACAGAGTAAGCCGAAACTGAATAAAAAGTATTTAGAACAATTAAGAATGACAAGGGGCATAGAATCTAGTGTTGGACAATGTTTCATTTTCATGGCGCCAAAGAGAACTCAGTTTCATGAAACTCCCCGTCGTCTAGTAGAAAGTGGACGAGAGGAGAGCATTGCCCTGAGAAAGTCCTGCCTGCCAGGCTGACAGATGACTCGGCCTGTTTGTTTATACTGTTAGGAAGCAGTACCTGTAAAAGGGAATGACACAGGAAAAAGTTAATCTGGCCTGACAGGAAAAACAGGGCAAATGTAGAGGGTCAGAGGTCTGGATGCCTCCGGGAGTGGTCAGCGCAGCACACCCACAGTGAGGCGCCACCACGGGTCATGTCACGTTCTGGGGTGAATTATGTCATTTAGATATAAGTCCTGTAGACACCATTTTTGGGGAAATGATTTGTAAAGAATACCAGGAACTATATATAATATTTACTATTTCATTTTTCAGATGGAAAAATCATCTCTCACCTGGTTGTCTCCAGCAGACCTCACACAGGCACTCGCGGCCTAGTTTACAGGGGTTAGAGTTACTACAAATCATGACAGATCAGAAACCTACGAGAAATGAGATCTGCACAGAACTAGGGGAAGAGGTAGCTACTTCATGAAATTTTAATCTGAGATGTTTTTAAAAACTCTTCTCTCTGAATGTGAAATCTTAGCCTGCTGCCCGAATCCATACAGACTTTCCTGCCCAGCTCCCATCCCACTGGCACTCACCTTGGCATGGACCCCTCCGTCCCTCGCACAGTCACATCTCTGTCTCTGTTCTTCGGCACGTCCTCTGCCTGCAGTTCGCTGGGGGACGGCTCGGTGCTGATGACAACCCTATGCACTTCTTTCAGATGGCCGAAATAGACTCTGACATGACCAAACACTTTTGCACAAAATTCGCAGCACACGAGTTTCTTCAGCCGGTTCTCACCGTGATGAAGTTTCATGTGTGTGCTCAGGCTGCCAGAACGCACATATGCCTTGCGACAAATCCGACAACTGTAGGGCCGTCTGTTAGTGTGTGTATTCATGTGGTCTCGAAGGTGCTGTTTGAACTGGAAGTGGTGGTTACAGACAGGACATCTGTGCCAAGGTTTCTTAATGCCAGAGAATCCATTTCTGAATGCAGAGCTGGGCTTAGGAGAAGGGCTATTGTCCTGCTTACAGCCAAGATATTTAGAAGTGAGTGAATTATTTAACAAAATGTCCTGTCCCAGGCTGCTGGGCCTTTGGGATTGTAACATAGCTGCAGGAGAAGTGAGGGGAGCCAAAGTGGGCATGACAATGACAGGTTTAGGCATAATACTACGATATTTTTTCATAGCCCCAGGTTTTTGGTCTCTGGAATCTTGGGAATCATTTTTCATTCTTTTACATTTCCTCCTTTTCCCCTGAAATGCCAAAATTTCATCTGGTACCTTTAGTTTTCTTCCTTTTCTCTTCGTTGCCCCACCATTCAGTTTTGTTTTGTGGTTGAGGTCCAGTTTGGTGGCTGGACTCTGCTTTGACACCTGTGGACCCAGCACGTTGTTGGCCATTTTGGTGGCTGCGTTAAAGCCTTCTGTGATGGAGTCCGCCCTGAGCCCAGGTGAAGAAAAGTCTGCAATGTTAATATCTGACTCATTTTTGTAAACCTCTGTCGTTTTCATCCTTGAGTATGGTAAAATGGGCAGTTTACCTTTGGGGACTGAGGGGATCAACTGAAGTGCACTGCCCAAAATAGCTGGCGATAACTTCATGGCGCCTTTTGCAAGATCGACTTGTTCTTTATGCTTTTCACTGACGATAGCTGAAGATGTACTGGATGTTTCCTTGCTTGCAAAGTTTTCTTTCCCTGAAATCTTAGTGAGGCCCGGCTTGGCGCAGGGTTCCTCTGGTGTGGAGGATGTTACGGTGTCAGGAAGGCTTGGATCTCCATGGTCATTGGTTACTGGAGGTCGAGAGTCTTCATGACCTCCATCAGTCAGCACAGTCATACTGACATTAGCTTGGGCTTGGTCCAGCGACAGCACTGGCTCAGATGGACTTGGTGGGGGCGGGGGTTCTTCAGGATCAGGTGGAGAAGAAGGGGTCTGGGTTTGGGCTCTTCGTTGCCCCACCATTCAGTTTTGTTTTGTGGTTGAGGTCCAGTTTGGTGGCTGGACTCTGCTTTGACACCTGTGGACCCAGCACGTTGTTGGCCATTTTGGTGGCTGCGTTAAAGCCTTCTGTGATGGAGTCCGCCCTGAGCCCAGGTGAAGAAAAGTCTGCAATGTTAATATCTGACTCATTTTTGTAAACCTCTGTCGTTTTCATCCTTGAGTATGGTAAAATGGGCAGTTTACCTTTGGGGACTGAGGGGATCAACTGAAGTGCACTGCCCAAAATAGCTGGCGATAACTTCATGGCGCCTTTTGCAAGATCGACTTGTTCTTTATGCTTTTCACTGACGATAGCTGAAGATGTACTGGATGTTTCCTTGCTTGCAAAGTTTTCTTTCCCTGAAATCTTAGTGAGGCCCGGCTTGGCGCAGGGTTCCTCTGGTGTGGAGGATGTTACGGTGTCAGGAAGGCTTGGATCTCCATGGTCGTTGGTTACTGGAGGTCGAGAGTCTTCATGGCCACCTCCATCAGTCAGCATAGTCATACTGACATTAGCTTGGGCTTGGTCCAGCGACAGCACTGGCTCAGATGGACTTGGTGGGGGCGGGGGTTCAGGATGATCAGGTGGAGAAGGGGACGTCTGGGTTTGGGCAGGAGGTTTGCTACAGCCACTCTCAGAGGAGCTCAGAACAGGTTTCTTTCTTGATCCTTTGTTATTTCTTGGGGGTTGGTATCGAGGAATAGGCAGTTTAAGGTTTTCAGGCAAGGGCAGTCTGGGTTTCTGGACAGGCTGAGCTGAGGCGACATGCGGCAATGCAACGAGAGAAAACGTCCCCTCCTGGCCAGCAACCTGCATCAGGGCATAATTCTGGGCAGGCACCCCCAGGGGCGTGGAGCTTACGGAGGGCCCTGGATTCACTTGATCAGAGAGTGATGGTGAATGGCATGACAGTACTCTGGATGTTAGGACTTTAGGCACAATTTTCGGTGCAATGGTCCTAAACTGACTCTTATTCTGCAAATTTTTCCCACTCTGTATTGTTCCAAAAGACATGACTGATTCACCTGCAATGACAAAACAATGCAAAACGTCACTATGGTGTAACTGTCCTGTGGTGGAGCGTGCAAATAAACATCTCATCATTTACTCTGCCTGGGATGCATTCCTAGACCTACCCTTACTCTCTGGGAAGGCTCCTGTGTTCTTCAACACCCAGATGGAAGGCCAACTCCTGTCCACCTTCCCCAGGGATTGACTGTTATTCTCCTCCATGGCTCCATAGCCCCTACTGGCACATTTGCCAGTTGCCAGTTTCCCTAATAATTCATCAGTTTTACGTGTCCCTATTACCAAACAGAGCTTCTTGAGAGGGTGGACTCTGTCCTATCTCTATTCCACCAAGTCCGTCCTCTCTATAACCTAATTCTGATTCATCTTTGTAGGCCAGAGCAACCCCACCTCCTTTTCTCATTTCCTGAGCTGCAAAGTCTCTCCTCTGGTCACCCTCTCTGGGTGGTTCCTACTGTGTATTTGAGTTATTTTATATTCATGACTAGCTTTCCCTATAAAACTTAAGCTTTGTGAAGGTGAAGGCGATATTTGATTCAACTTGATATTTCCCACGGTATCTTTGGTATGAAAGAAATGTTTCTTGCATCAAACTCATTTTTCACTCAATTTTAGGATACACCATCTGACCTACTGGCAGTGTGATTTGTTTTGCACAGTGGATGAATTCTAGACTGAATGCTAGCTTTGTTGCTGTTTCCCCATGTGACTTGTGAATTTCTTCTCACACCTTTCAAACTGTTTATGTGCGCTTGTGCAATTAAATCACCAGTATTAAAAAAGCTGATGTGACATAAGTAAAGATATAGCAATAACATAACAAAACACATGAATCACACAAAAAGCACCTTCTAGGATACTAATAGGAACCATTTTAACTGACTTATAACACTTCATCCTTTCCGGATTTATTACTACGGAAGACCGATTACAACTATTCTAAGAGAACAATTAAGGAAACATGTCAATGCACGGCTTCTAAGGACTGAATCATCTGTTTTATTCCTAAGGCCTCGAGGTTGTAAAGCCTGGTTGCAGACAACTCATGTTTACTAGGTGCCTACACTATTCTAGGGTTTGGCTATTACAGGCCCACAACCCCTTTTCTAAAATCTTTGGGGCCCAATATGTTTTGGAATTTACACTTTCAAATTTTAGAAAAGTAATAAGATACATACATGAAATGTTACATATACCCAGTGAAGACTGCAGAGCACCCCTGATTAAACCTATTACCACTCTTACCACTATGTAGTAAAATTTATGAATAAGCAAGCATAAAAAGTGGGACAAATAGTTTTAAATAGTCTTAGTCAGTTCAAGTTTTGCCTCTGAATGAGTTTTGGTACCCAACTTTTAATAAGATTTTCTGTTTTCAGAGCTTTTTAGATTTTGGAGTTATGGATAAAGGGTTAATTAACTGTTGGGGATGCCAAGGATACAAAGGATACAAAGATAAACAGACACAATTTCTGCCTTAGGTCGCTGGCAATCTAGTGCGAGACGATTAAAAATTTTTTTAAATTAACCTTGATTAATGTCTACAACTAGTGAACTAATAATTTTAGCAGGAAGTTGATTCAGCAAAAATAATATTCCCCAAATAGACAAATAAATAGTATAGTACGAATAAGATTGAAATGTATAATGACCAACTTATTTTAGAAAGTAATCACTGTTTGGAGAAGAAAAAGTACATTAAAAACATATCTCACGTGGTAGCTTGTATTATAGTCAGAAGGAAAAAGACTAATTCTATAGTCTAGAAAACTCACATAAAGATAATTATGTAATCTGTTGTTTCTCTTTTTAGCTTTGCTACCATGAAGTTCACGGGTAAATTGGTGACTTCACAATAGTCACCTAAATGGATCTGTTACATTTGCTTCTTCTGTTTTTAATTTTATTTATATTTTAGTTTTATTTTCATAGTCTTTAAATGTAGATGTCTTCCATTTTAAGCACCATCTTGTCATCTTTTTGAAAGAAGTACTAAAGAAAGATGTAAATAAATAAATTGGGATTGCAAGAGTTTGCAGAAAGCTTAAAATTATTGAGAGCTTTTGGTTACCTAGAGACAGGGATTATTAAATAATTAATAATGATAATAGGGGTCTCTGCATCTACACAACAGATCAGGGATGAAAAAGAAAAGAAAACATGGGGTCACTTATATCTAATTCATGCTCCTAATTCAGTGGTCCCCAACCTTTTTGGCACTAGGGACCAGTGCTCCTATGAGAATCTAATGCCTGATGATCTGAGGTGGAGCTGAGGCAGTGATGCCAGCGCTGGGGAGCGGCTGCAAACAGATGAAACTTTACTCGCTTAACCACCACTCACCTCCTGCTGTGTGGCCCAGCTCCTAACAGGCCACGAACCAGTACGGGTCCGCGGCCTGGTGATTGGGGACCCCTGTGACCTAATTCACTGAGCACAAAATATTTACCACAAGAAAAGCTGGAAGAAAGGCTACTTTGTCTTTAGTCATAAATCCTCTTGACATAATATGTAACAATAATATATCACAGCACATCACTTTGCTTGTCTGCTCAAAACTGTCCAGTGGCTCTTCATCTCAGAGCCAAAGTCAAGGGCCTGAAAAGGCTTCCTGCCATTATGGGAGCTTCTCTAATGCACCTGCTTCTCTCCAGCCATGGTGGCCTCTTTGCTGTTCTTTAAATGTGCCACATACCCATTTCCTCAGTCTCTGCACTTGCTGCTCTCGCTGCCCAGACTCTTCTGGATAAACCCCAGAACTTGCAGCAGTACTTCAAGTTTTGCTCAAATGGCCTCTTCCCTGTGAGCTCTTCTCTGATCACCTTATTTAAAATTGTACTTCCATTCTGAAATCCCTACCCTCTTTCCTGTTTCAATTTTCTCTACCACACTTGCTCCATCTTATGGATTATATTATGGTCCACCACGCCCTAGGACATAAATTCCTTGAGGGCAGGGGGTTTGCCTATATCTTCAGGGCCTGGAATAGTGCTGGGCAGGTGATAGAAATGCAATAATTACTTTTTGAATTTGTAAGTGGCAATAAAGTGATTAATGGCTGAAATAAAGAATTTATAGATTGAGCCTAGAGAATTTTCTAAAATATCAAACAAAAAGATAATTTAAAAGCAAACTTTAACATTTCCAAATTTTAAAAATTAAAAAAGAAATAGAGGATATATCACTGGAACATTTCTTTTTCCAATTTAATTTCACTCACTGACAGAATAAGGCAATGGGTTAGCACCATGATAAAACCATTTAAAATAAAGGGATAAGTGAGGCCAACTGACTGATCTGTCGAGGAAATAAGAGAGAACAGTAATTTATGCTGCTGTGGTACAAACTAAAATAGTCAAAGAAATAAGCAAGCTCTGAAGGAGAAAACGCTTTAAAGAAAACAGACATAGAGGGAAAAAGAAGGGGATTAGAGTGCAAAGACAATCGACTAGAAATGGAAAAACAGCCTCAGAAGCAGCAGATGGTCACGTCAACATGAAGAGGAGCAGAAATAACAAAGAACAGAAGATGCAGCTGAAGCAACAACCAGTGGTCAAGGTCAGCTTGGAGTTTCTACAGATTTAAGTTGGGCAGGGGCCTCCTATTTTTTATGACCAAGTGTAAAAGCGATCTTCTGACAACTAAGATTTCCAGAAATGAGACTAGATATACTTTACAGAGCCATTCCAAAAAAGAGTGAGCTAATTATGATGCATTTAAAGTTAATGTGTTTCCACTGGTCTTCAAAAGTTTCTACACTATTGTGGAAATAAAATCACACAGGACATTCAAAAGAAAGGGAGGCCAACTGTGGTCAAGGAGGAAAAAAAAAACCCTTTAGAGTAACTTAGGTCTCAGCAAGGGAGAATACTGATCGGTGAGCAGCCTGGGCAATTGAAACGACAGAGTCCTAGATGACAGGTAGGGGGCCTGCCAAACAGAGTTAGTTCTCCTCAAGTTCTCTATAATTTAAAGAAGTGGATACTGAGGCTGACAAGTTTACCAGTTGGCTTCATGATCAATGATCACAAGCTGATCACAAGCAATCTATGGGATGAAAAGATAAGGCCTATGGGTAAATTTAACTCACTCATGCTCGCCGAGATCTACTGGAAGTACATACAAGCCACGGCTCTCCATGAAGGTGTGTCAAGTTCCGTTTCCTAGAATCATTACATTAAGGATGAAGCCACAGGGAATGAAACTGATGCGTTAAAAGAAATGCAAGGCAGGAGAAAGAAGGAAAGGCCAGAAGAAGAGAATAAAACAAAACAAAACAAAACCCTAGGAATTACTTAAATGTCCAGCAATAGGGTACTGATAGAATCATCATAACCGTACAATGTAATAATACTCTGCATCAGTTAAAAAGAAAGAAATAGACTGATATGGAATTCTCTCCAAGATATTAGATTTATAGTATGCTATCAGTTAGTGAGATACACACACAAATATATTCCTGTACATGCATAGGATATCTCCGAAAAGAAACAAAAGAAACAAGTAGTAGTTGTGGGCTTTGGGGTGGGGACCTGGGAGAACTAAGGTCAGGATGGGGTAAGTGCTTATTCTCCACAGGATATTCTCTGCCTGGCATACAGGGGATGCTTATAAATATTTGTTAAATGAATGAAAGGAAAAGGAAAGCTCTCCTATTTGTTTTTTAATAGGGTATCTTTGGGGATATTCATGATGTGTTAAGTGTGTATGTATGAATAAATGACTGTCTAGATTACACAAAGAGAATGTCTCCTGTTTTTTATTTTCCTTGCTTACTTAATGACAAGAAATGCTAATGATAAGGAAACTAATCTGATAATCTGACAGGCAGTGCATAACTACCCCCCAGAGTTAAGCCTCCAGAAGTATCAGAGCTCATTACATCCCAAGGACAATTGGGGTTCTGAGAATTGTTCCTCTAAACATTTGGTTCTTTAGAATAAAACAAGGCAATTTGCAATAAAGGTCAGTTATGCTCGAATCACCACAGGCTTTTTTTTTTTTCCTTTTCAAAGTAGTTTGAATAGGAGTTTTTAGAGAAGCTGAAAATGCCATTAAAATTTTAAAACTCTATACCGCTAAGATGGTATGATTGTAGGAAGTCTTTTTTGTAACACGGCTACAATAGTGGTTTACTCCACTACAAACTTACAAGGCCTTTCCCAGAAGGAGTGACCAAAAATCCCTTACCTATCACCTACTAAATTACAGATCTGCACTAAAAATTGAGAGGTAGAAATTTCCACTGACATTCATAACTTTTGAAAATCCTGCAAAATTACCCATAACACAGTTTAAGAGACTCACAGGACTCTCAGGCACTAAACATGGACTTTTATTAACTGAAAATATAAAAGGCTCACTCAGTAAAATTAATTTTGCACAATTATACAACATGAATACTTAATATTAGGATTTTAAATATGGGCTGTTTTTAATATGTTAAGCATATTAAAAATCTTTTGAAAAGTGACATTTACAGACAGTGATCTAACTGTGGATTACGGGGAAACTAACAGATACTGAGTCCTTATTAAGGTCTAGAATCTGTGCTAGGTCTTTTAATTGAACCTTCATGCAAACCCTGCGAAAAAATATTATTTTCCCCTTATAAATTAAGAAGAACAAGGCTTGAGGAAGTTAAATAATGTGCCAAAGTCCTCTGTCCCATTCCGATATGAAGCAATGACTCTCCTCTCCTTCATTCTCCCCTCTGAAGGGAAAAAATTATATACAAGTTGCCTTAATTAACTCCAAAATATATTATCTCTGAATGTTTTGGAAAAATAAAATAAAATTTTAAATGAAAATGGCTTGCCATATCCCAAACTTCCAATTACCATTAAACGATTCTTTCTGAAAGCCCACTTAGAAGAGAACTTGTGGAAAATTAATACTCCTTTGAAAGTAAAAGTAGGTTTTTACTATCGATAAGATTCTGACAAATCCAAAGAGGCTGCCAGATATTTGTTTAGAGAAAGTGCAACGTGTGTCTTCCTCCTCTCCCTCCGTTACCACCAAAGAATTTAATCTGATGGACACTGGTTGCATGTTAAGAGGCAGCAGAGGGAAGAATGAGGGCTCCGTGGTACTCAGTGCCACCGTCTGAGCCAGCTTGATCAAACTGCTCCGCAGCACAGCTGGCAAGTACAAGAGACAAGTATATGGGGAAGGCAACTCTCTAGTCAGCTGCAAACAACTCACTTCCTCATTTCCACAGGCAGAATCAAGGCCTCCTTTATTGCTTCTGAACAAAGCTGTTCCTGGAGCTTGTCCTTTCATTAGTGTGGGCACGACTCCACGATTCCATCTGTTGGGGCCCACAGGCCTACGCTACCCACGGAGCAGGGTGCAGGTAGAGAGAGAGAGGAGTGTCCCTGCTCTTGCAACAGGCTCCTGGACCCAAGAGCTGCCAAATCTTAGCCGCTACACAGCCGAAATTTGAGGTGTTGTTTAGGTTTTAATTTTACTAAACTGAAAAAGCCTATTTTCAGTTTTATTTGTTGGCGTCCCTTTTTTCTCTCCTACTTGGCTTTCAAATAATAAATTCCAGTTGAGGTTCAAACTGTTTCCCAAGGATGGTCTTGGGCTAAAATAAATATGGTAAAACCCTGGAGATGTCTGAGATAAAAGAAATGCCTCATAACACAGAGGAGCTCAACTTAATTTTGTTGAAGAACCCTGTAAACACATTTAGCCATCGCCTACCCTCTCCCCAAGGCATTGCAGCAACAGAGCAACAGGAGTTGAGCAAGCGCTGACTGAGGAGAGTGCACTGTAAGGCGTGCTGCACAGGCATGAATGTTCTTTTGTTTCTAAGGATACAGGATGCCACATGTCATTTCTAGTCCACATATCTGTAGCACTAAGACCTCCTAGAGCCATCATATCCAGGACCCAAATTTCAGGAAATCTGACACTATACAAAGGAAACAAGCACATTCTCAGTTGGGTATCTTGTATCCTGAGTTTAGTTTTGTCTGTTCTCCTGGCACACTTGCTCTGCTGAACTATGCTTTTACCTGACTCCCTTTCCTTCCCTCCTATAGCAACGCCTTCCCTTCAGCACAGGCCTTTATGAGCTGTCTTGCCAAACAGTGAATTCACCACCTCCCTTAGCAAGAAAAAGAATTCTCTTTCCTGAGCACCAGAGCTTCTTTATTTCCTAGCACTTATCGATACTGTTTCTTAAACATTATTTTAATGATAAGGACTATTCTACGTCAAGCACTGTGCAAAATACTTCACATGTATTATCTCATTTCATCCCCACAATAACTTGAGTTGCAAATTACTGTTATATGTACATTTTACAGATAAAGGTTTCAAAGCTGGTAAGTAACAGGCTGGAACTCAAGCCTTGGTCTGTTTGACCCCCAGGGCTCTTTCCACTTTTATGTGCTGACTGTAAGCTATCACGCATGACGATGGCCACTATCACAGTCTCTAGTGGAAGGAGCGTGGGTTTGGGGGTTCAGACAGATGTGGTTTCAACTCATAGTTCCGTCTCATGGCTTGTGAAAGTCACTCTGTGAGCCTAAACGTTCCCAATTATGAAGTGGGGACACTAATAGTTTCTGCTACAAAGGTCACTATCAGGATTAAATGAAAAAGGCCCCGTGAAGGTGCCCTGGTAGTGCCGACCACACGGAAGATGCTCGGTAGACATTAGCTTTCTACTTTCTCTTGCCAAAACGTATGAGGCTCCTAACATTTCATTTTAATGGGGGAAAAAACCCCACAAATCTTGAATGCTAATCCTATGAAAACAGTACTGAATCCTTAAACTGGTGTTTCTTTTTTGAGAGGTAAATAAAGAGGAGAAATGGCTATGGTGAATTATGTTCCCAATGAAAAGCTGTAAAGCACTGTAAACCGCTTTTTCTTTTGTGCCTCTCTCCTGCCGCCTACCCTCGACCTTCCCTACATCTGATCCACCCTATCCAGCTCTTTTATTCTCTGCCCCCAGTTTTTACATCCCAGTTGACAAAGTGCTAATCATATGAACAGTTGTAGAGAACAGGAGTTTACATATGTGCATTTTAAAGAGCTGCTTTATGGGGGCACTTCTCCGCTCTTGTTTAAATTGAGTATTGATGCCAATTGTTGTTGCTCTGAAATGTGCAGGGTTTTAAGAAAACAACTTTCCCAGCAGACTATTGGGGTGGGGGTTCCTGTGAAGTAGGGGCCTGGAGACACTGGCCTGGAGGATTGAGAGCAATGGCTCTAAGATTTCTCAACTTAGGAAAAAAAATATGTGGACACTCGCAGAGGATAAGGGCAGGAGATCCCCAATTTTAAAAGCACTTTCTTGTAGATCTCAGCATTTTGCCAAGGGACTCGTTAAGAAATAGTTTAAGATAATTAATTAATGCCCCAGATGAAAAAAGTTTTCAAAGCCTTATCATTTACAATATATTTTAATAACCCTCAATTTCAATGAATTTCCCCTTCATTTTAATTAAACTGTCTTTTATGAGTCCTTATTTCTGGGAGGAATCATTTTTGATTTCAGGTGCTTCTGATGAAAAACGGTTGAAAATTATATGGAATATTTTTATTTTTAATACATTTTGAAAGATAAAGTTGTTTAGCTTTTTGGCCAAAAAACTGTAATATGCACAAGATTTTATTCATTATTACAAAATAGTCAATTTTGTATCTTTACCAAATCTAAGAATGACTGAGTAGCATAAAAACTGAACTAACAGCTAATGATTCACAGGGGATACAAAGCAAGACAAATGGAAACTTATGAATTGCTGTATTAACCCCATTCTATCATTATTTTTTTGTTATTACTGAAATTGTTAATATTTAGTTGAGTCACTTAGTTGAGACCTTGATAACTGGACTTCAGCAAGGTAAAAGCAGCAAATCACTTCATTTGATGTCCTATCACCTGTAACAAATACCTGTGCACACTGTCTTTCCAGGAGATTCCGACATTTTCTGAGTCAGCTGTTTCTCAACAGGACTGGTGAGCACAGAAACATCTGCAAAAGAGCTTTAGTGAGCTGCATGAAATCTTCCCCCAACAAATTAAAAACGGGCCCCTTCTTTATAAATCTTACAACCGTTTTAATATTAGTTGGAACAGTTAAGTATCTGGGATGACTAACAAGGTGACAGTTGCTGAAGAAAACTTATTCCTTAGTGGGATGAACAGGAAGATAAGGTTTCAACATCAGAATGTGCAGTCAACTGGAATAATTAAACACATGCAGAAGGTTGGAAGGTTCTTACCTTTGGTCGAAATACCAGGATTATGAAACCAAAGTGGTAAAGGTCGTAATGTTTCAAAAACAGTATAGTTAAAAAGCAAGGGAATGGAATGGCAAAAACATTCTTATTTTTATACTGTAATTTCAAAAGTAGATGGACTTTAAATCTATAGAATGGATATTTTTAAGGAGTATGCAAACTGCAATTTAAAAACCGAAGTAATTGTTCCACTGCTTTATAGTATGGTTTTACAGATGTTTTACCTTCACTTCTGATTGATCTTCAACTCAGTGATTTATAACTTTTTTTTTCGCTGAAAGTTTTCCTATGCCTCAGCTTTTATGTCACATAATTCATGATTCCTAAGTACCAAAGGACAGGATCATGCATTCCTTTGCTATATTGATAATTATTCCCTGAAACTCCTGACTGGTAAGTTTCTTGACTGCTACTTATTTCTTTAACCAAGACATATCTTACCTTAACACAGAGAGACCACCTACAATACCGACACTTTGAAGAAAGTACCAGGCACTGACTGGTACCGAGGGACCTGGATTTGCGGTACCTTTGTGGAGCTGACCGGATTGGATGTCTATGAGTTGCCTGGCATACACAGATTCTGAGGTATGGCTAATGTAGTCAGATGCTGACCTGAGCTACTACAAAGAGCAAAGTCATCAGAGTTAAAGCTGTGGGACTACTGAGGAATCCCATTCTTTTGAATTCTGCCTGGCTTGTCCTTTAGTATCTTTACTGTTCTACAAAACGTGATTGAAGGAAATGTGTACTCTCATCTACAGGTTAGGAATATGTAAGAGTTAATTCTCCATTTTCCCTAAAGAGATGGAGTGATGAAGCTGTCCACCTGCCTTCTCTCTTCCTTGAGGTTCTGCACATTTGGTTGTGCGTGTGCTTAGGTGGACACTCCTGGTTCCAGAACTGACTTCACAGCTTATCATCCACGGACACCCCCCCACCCCACACACACACCGTGGGTACCCACTGCTGTCTTCCTACAGCACCTGCCCCAACTGGCTTGCACTGTGCTCTCTACTCCACGGCTTGCTGCCCAGTGCGGGAGAAATCCAACCACTGTGAACACTGGACGTTACAAATTTAACGTTCCAGTCTCAAACTGCAGACCTATTCCACAATCTGTTCTTCATCTCTAACAGAATCCCTTCAGTTCTTCACTGGGGCTAGCTCAGGTCTCCCCACGGCTTTCCTGAGGCACTCTCCCTTCCCCACCTTTCCCCCGTGGCTCTCTTCTCTCTTGCCAATGATTCTCAGCATTAACCTTGCAATGGACTGGATGTTTGTGTTCCCCCAAAATCCATATGCTGAATCTTAACCTCCTAGTGCAATGGTATTAGAAGGCGGGGCCTTTGGGAGGTAATTAGGTCATGAGGGTGGAAAAAGGACCCCAGAGAGCTCTCTTGCCCTCTTCTGCCATGTGAGGACATGAGAAGATGGCAGTCTGTAACCCAGAAGAGGGCTCTTACCAGAACGTGACCACGTTGGCTCCCTGGCCTTGGACTCTGAGCCTCCGGAACTGTGAGAATTGAATTTCTGTTGTTTATAACCCCGTCTATGGTGCATACTTTCTTAGAGCCTGACGTGACTGAGACTTCGTGGAGAAAAGAGAGGTTACCAAGTAGGAACTCATTCACTATCCCATCTTTCTACTTCTACACTCTCTTCTTTAATTATACAATATAATAAATTTACCTTTTTTGGGGTGGGAGAAAAAAGGGAGAAGCACTCTTTCTAAATATACAACTCATCTGCCTCAAGTCCTAAAACATTAAAATGCGAAAAACTGTGCATCTTAGAATAACAAAGTAGAGCATTTCTAACCCTGCTCTGCGCCCCACACTTCTCTCCAGGCCCCTCATGCTGCCTTAGGGAGCCCACAGCATCTGCGAGTTCCCCGACTATCTTACCCAAAAGCAGCTGTGCAGCCCCATGCAATCACTTGCTGCTTTCTCTTTCTGCTTTGATTGTCCTCCATGGCACTTACCTTTATAATGAGATTACATTGCCTGCCTCCACCCACTAGAATGTAAGCTCCAAGAAAGCAGGGGCTTGTTTTGTTCGCTACGAGTACCTCAGTTCCCAGATCAGTGTCTGGCAGATGGGAGTAACACAATATGTTAGTTACTAAATGAGTGAGCTATTAACTCTCAACTGTACATTCTCTCCTTTGCTTTTGCTAAACACAAAAGTATAAAAGCCAAACCAATAAGAGTCCTTGGGCTCTTTTTACTCTTCAAACTACCACTCTACTTCCTTTAAGTTATTCTAGGTAATGTACATGTACCCTGTCTCTACTCAGCAACTTCTATTCTTCCCTCAACCCCCTAAACCCTTAAATTCCATTATTAAGTACTAAAACGTCCTTCAGTTCAGTCAGGGGTCAGACTGGGTGCTTAACGTATTATCTCACTTAATCCTCTACCAGCTTTTGAAGTGAACATCTCCAGTCCACCGATGCAGAAACTGAATATTTCTTGTGAGGACATAAAGCTGGTGAGAGTGAGATTTGAACCCAGGTCTGTCTGGCACTAAAGCTGTTCTCCTTTCATTTCCAATACACAGAACTTACTAAGCTGTTCCACAATTTATCCGTTTATGTGTCTCTTCCAATGGCTGGTGAGTGTCACATAATCCATCTCTATGTTGAGAAAGTAAAGACTGACTGTTTTGACTAACTTTTTCCAATCAGTGAGTGTAACAGTCAGGATAGAAAGAGCGAGCTTTTTTTTCCAACAGGAATATTTAGCACAGTTGCTGGAGAGGTAGTTCACGGAATTCATACACAGTGATTCCCTTCGAAATGCCCAAGGCGTTAAACGCCAGACTCCCTGCACGGGTGGCAGAGTGTCTAGTGAACAAATAAGACTTACACCAAAAAGGAATATTTTTTAAAGCAACAACTACACAATAAATTTAATGAAATTTTAAAGTACTGACTTAAAGTTTTTTTATAATGAGCAAAAGAGAAGAAAAAATCATTACTAAGGTCTTTTATAATTTTAGAAATAATATAAATTTCCTAGATATTTTCTAATCCCATGCAACCTGCTTCTAAAACTGAGGTTATTGAAGAACATTAGCACTGAATGAAAAAGTCTAAAAATGCTGAAAGAAATTCTAAATTCCTCATATGGTGACTCCTGCCCTCTTCAATATACTTGACAAAACATCAGTGCTGGGCCTAAACTTTGGATCTGGGGAATTCTCCCTTTTTTGGTGGCGGGGGTGGGGTGGGGAGGGGGGGGTCCTCAGGGAAAACAAGACAAATTGCATTACATATAAGAAAGAGAACAGAGGGAGCTTTGGTTCTTCCATGTACAGTGAGAACGAGTTTGAGAAAGATAAGGATCCCTACTGGCTTTAGTTTCTCCCTTTAAAACGAGAGGATTACACTGGATTATCGTTTCTCAAAGTGTGGTCTGCAAATCCTGGGAGGGCTCAACACTCTCCCTACTAATTAGATGCCATTTGTTTTTTTCACTACGTTGACTTTTGCACGTGTTGCACTGATGAGGTCAAAGGGATAACTGGGTAAAACTACTCTGGCACTTTAGCCTGAATTAAGGCAGTGACAGCAAACTGTTCAAGCAGTCATATTCTCCACCACCAAACCCTCTCAGCAGAACAAAAAAGTGGTACAAAATTTTAATAAACCTTGAACCTTATATGCTTTTTAAAATTGTGAGTGATGAAATGGTTCATACTCTTAGGGCACTTCTGCTGCATACTGAAGTGTGCCAGTTGCCTTGAGGAAAAAGCATTTGTGCAATTGTTTGAGTTGCAAAGCTGAACTGCTGCCTTTTCTCATGGAATAACATTTGTACTTGAAAGAACATCCAAAACACATGCTGAAAGAACATATTCGGACTTGAATATTGGGTGAGCATTTTCTCAAAAATGAACGAATAGAGCTACTCATTACAAGTAACCATTGCGGATGATATATCATTCTTTCAAGCAGCAATTAGAATTTTGGAAAACTTGAATTCATCACCAGGAGCCTGAAGCTTCCCAATAATGACTTTTTCAAATGAGACTGGTGATTGCATTAACAATATGATTTTTAAATTATTGTAAAAAATGATATACAGTAAGACCTCACTTAATGTTGTCCACAGGTTCTTGGGAACTGGAACTTTAAGCAAAATGATGTATAATGAAATAGTTTTACCACGAGGTAATTGATAGAAACAAGAATTAAGTTCCTACAGCATGTATCTCATCATAAAATTATCACCAAACGTCTCAATAAAGACTCAAAACATTTCTAATATTAAACATAGAAATAAATGTGAGCTAGTCATACATTAAGATAGATGTATAAAAACAAGTAAGAGAATTCTTTTCCAAACTGCTTATTCCAGTTCAGAATCTTGGATGGCCAGAGCCTGTCCTGGCAGCTCAGGATGCACGGTGGGACCCAACCTGGGGCAGGACACTCTTCCATCTAAGGGTGCACCCACACTCAGACTAGGACAATTTAGACACACCAACTAACCTCATATGCACATCTTTGGGACATGGGAGAAAATCCATACAGCCCCGGGGAGAACATGCCAATTCCACAGAGGCAGTGGCCTCGGTCAGGAATAAAATTTTTTTCTCATCAATGTAATAATAAAAGGACGTTGAATGAAACAGCATTATTCAAATACCTGCTGTATGTATAGAAGACCTGCATAACTCAGTGAACTGTTTTCTAAATGACCAATGCCTGATGTTACATGGATGG